CGCTCCTCAGCCACAATGGAGGAATGAATGGCCACCTCCTGGCCGGACAGCCGCAGCCTCGGGGGACCTCGCCTCAGGCTTGCAGCCACTTTGTCCCACCCCACCCTTCCCGGTCCACTCTGCCGGTCCGCAGGATCTGGGTCTACACCTGCAGGGATACCCGCCTCCTGCCAAAGAGGGGGAGGACTTCCTAGACCTCCCGGAAGTCCCGTGCACTCTACCACCGCTCAGCGTACCCGGAAAAGGACGGCGTCCTGGAAGGGACATTTGAAAACGAGCGGCAACGCGTCAAGGTTCAGTTTCATTCCTGACCAGAGGCGAGTGTTCCTGTGATAAAAGAATTATACCTTTAACTTTGAAGGGTACACCCAATTCTCCTAGCTCACTCAAGCAAGCGATGGGCACTTGCTCGATTTTCAGAACTTGGTGAAATCGGCGAAACCAACTCGGAATCCGGAGGGCGTTGATCACTGAGGATCTGGGCTGTCAATCAAATCTACTCCACAAATTTAGCTGCAAGCTGGGAGCTCTCTCGCTCCCGAACTGCGGGAGGCCAGACGCGTGGAGATGCGGGGCGGGTGTGAGGGGAGAGAAGAGGAACGCGTTAGTGGCCAATGGAAGCCAAGTCTCGCCAGCTGTGACCTTTCAATACCGGAGTTTTTGGCTCATTAATGCCCTTCGTGGGGAAATGGGTAAATAAACTGTGGCATATTCATACAATAAAAATAACTGAATAAATGAAAGAAGCCAGACACGAGAGTGGCATCTGTATGTCATTTATTTCAGGTTCTCGAACAGGAAAAACTATAGTGAAAAATTTCAGAAAAGTGATTGACTTTGGGGATGAAAATTGGGAAGAAAATTAGAGAATTTTCAGGGGTGATGGTAAAGATCTATATTTACCTTGTTAAAAAAAAAAAGCTTATGAGAGACATTATAATGGACAGATCCGGCTGACAATACCCGAACTCACTAATCAATCGTGACATCACATCATCATCTCCTGGTGAGATGCATGGGAAGCACATGTTGAACCTGATCAAGTCTCAGGATCTAATTACCAGTTCATAGGAAATACAGAGGGTAGTGGAAACACGATAAAAGACATCACAAGGATAAAATCAACCATGTCCAAAAAGCAGAAAATTATATGGGTCAAATAACCTGTCAAATGACAATGAGAAGAAAGTGGAAGGGGAAACTACTTTAGAATAAAAGACTTCTGGGACATAACAACACAATGCAGTATTGCAATGTGTGGACTTTGTTTGGATCCTAATTCAAAGAAATCAACCAGAATATTATTAGGATATTAGCTGATAATAAGGAATTCCTAAAACTTTCAAGGTATAGTAATGGCTTATATGTTTATGTTAAAAAGGAGCCCCTATCTCTTTGAGACACAGACTGAAGTACTTACAGATGAAATAATATGATGTCTGGGATTTGCTTTAAAATAAGCCAAAGGGAGCTGTGGGGCAATGAAGAAAGATTGGCCATTTGTTAAATGTTGAAGCTGGGTGATGGGTACACAGGGGTTCATTGCACTACAATATTCTACTTTCGAATGTTTGAAAACTTCTATAATAGAAGATTAAGCAAAAAAACAAAACAAAACTTTTATGCTCACACTGGGCTTCAACAGCTTGTTTAGTATTTTGTACTGAGCTTCCTCTCACCCCCTCCCCTTAGATCAAATCTCAGCTGCACAGAAAGGTAGAAGCTGCCCTTCACAGATGAGTGACATATACACCCTCCAGGTTGCAGGGATTTAAGTCCCTTCTGTCGTACAGTTTGCCAGCCTCTTGAGTTTGGCCCCAAGTTGCTGTGAGGCCCATTTCACCCACAGTTGCTTTTATTCCAGCTTGAGCAGTCTTGTTATCTGTTGCCTCCTCCACCAGATATTGCACCTGCACCCCCAAATCTCCACCTCATCCAGTGTGATGTCAAAGTCCTTTGTTGTGTCATGAAACAGGACTGCCTGGGGATAGGGCACCATGGAGTCCTATGACCCCCACCCAATGGAACACAGGCTGAGTGAGTCCCCATTCGCCTGTCCAGCCTCCCTGCTTGGGATGGGGCAGTGGGGGGCCGGGGAGAAGGGACAATTTCCCCAAACACCTCAATGACAGTGGGTTAGGATCTGAGACACACTGTCAGCATAGAGCAGGAACAGGTCAACCTGCAGGAAGTTTAGGCCTTCTTGGCTGAGATCTGGATGCACAGGCTGGCAAAGGTAAAAGGCCGGGCTTTCTGCCATTGTGGATTGGCTGATTGGTGTAAGGTTTCCCAGCCATTTCTTCATTCACTCAACCAATATTGAAATCTATGTTGGGGGAATTCCCTGGCGGTCCAGTGGTTAAGACTCTGCACTTCCACTACAGGGGGCACAGGTTCGATCCCTGGTCGGGGAACTAAGATCCCGCCTGCTGCGTGGCACAGCCAAAAAAGAAAAGGGAGAAAGAAAGAAATCTATGTTGGGAGTGGAACTACAGCAATGAACACATACAGACAGGTCTCCTACCTTTGTGGGATCTACCTTCTAATGGGGCAAGGTGGGTGATGACAAATAATGCATTAGCAATACATTTCAAATACTAGGGAAAATTAAACAGGGTGTGGTGATAGAACATGAAGGGAGCTGTTTTAGACTAGGGTGAAAAGGCCTATGAAAGTAACATTTGACCTGAGGCCTGAATGGCAAGGACCCAGCCAAGTGAAAATCTGGGGACAAAGAACTAGTAAGTGCAAAAGCCTTAGATTAGCATTTACAAGAATGGAAACAAAAGATTTAAGCTAGTGAGCATTAGGATGGTGGTAGATGAGGTAAATGAAAAACATATCCAAGCTAGCAATAAAAGCTTCTATTTCATAATACCCTGGGGAAAGGACACAAATGATTTGCAGGAGTTAGAAATGCATATTTAAGCAGTCAAATAGCATCTTGCTCCTCTAAGTTATTTTTTTTTAATAAATTGATTTATTTTATTTTTGGCTGCATTGGGTCTTTGTTGCTGCACGCAGGCTTTCTCTAGTTGCAGTGAGTGCGGGCTACTCTGCATTGTGGTGCGCAGGCTTCTCATTGCGGTGGGTTCTCTCGTTGCGGAGCACGTCCTCTAGGCGCACGGGCTCAGTAGTTGCGGTGCGTGGGCTCAGTCGTTGTGCTGCACGGGCTTAGTTGCTCTGCGGCTTGTGTGGGATCTTTCAGGACCAAGGATCGAACCCGTGGCCCCTGCATTGGCAAGCAGATTCTTAACCACTGCACCACCAGGGAAGTCCCTCCTCTAAGGTTCTAATGGCAAATTACCCTTTTAAAAATCATAATTATATTGACTTTTTTATTATGTTACATGATAGTGACAGAGCAGTGAGAACAAGGGCCTTATCTGTCCACTATTACCAGAAGCTGGATTCCCTAACTTTGACTGGCATGTGATAGGGCCTTGCCCATTTCTACTGAACAGATGCTCAAGTTAACAGTAATCAGTGATATAATTGCCATGAATGACATTTGCAATAGCAACAAGACACATGACCATGCTGTCAGTGATGGTTGGAATATCAATGTTTTCATTAGAAAAACATCCTGCGTGTATTTAAATTCTGAATAGCTAATTTTTGCTGGTAAATTTTAAAAATGAGACATTGTTGAGAACTGTCATTGGACTCCTATGTTGCTTGAATATGTCTCCATTTGTCTTTTGATAATCACTTTCTGATATTAATAAGGTATTCTAAAAGAATCCGTGAATTAACAGAAATTATGCCAGGCAGTGATAGATTCCTGGAATTTTAGAAGCCTTGAATTAGGAATCAGACCTGGGTTCAAGTCCCACTGCTGTCACTCACTTGCAGCTATGTGACCTTGGGCATATCCAAAAACCTTTGAGACCATATTTGGGTTTTTTTTCATGTATTTATTTACTTTCATTTATTTATTTGGTTTGCACCAGGTCTTAGTTGTGGCTTGCTGGCTCCTTAGTTGCGGCACGCATGTGGGATCTAGTTCCCTGACCAGGGATGGAACCCCAGGCCCCCTGCATTGGGAGCATGGAGTCTTAACCACTGTGCCACCAGGGAAGTCCCAAGACCATATTTGTAAAAGGGATCTATTATCTATTCTTGCCTAAATCACAACACCTTTGTAAAAATCTGATTAAAGCTGTAAAATAAGATACTACTTAAGCTTTTGGAAGTGGCTGGAGGTTATGTTGAGAGCCTGTAAAGCCTTTGCCTGCTCTGCATTTTTTGTTTGGTCAAATCCCCACAGCCCCATTTTGTTTTAGAGCCCTAGCAACTAAAAGAGGAGCTGCTTTAGACTGGGTGTTTAGGGAAGGCCTAATGTCCAGTTTTTGGCTGTCAAAGTTCATCACTGAGCAGGGCTGACAGGCACAGAGCCCTTTATTAGGGATTCCTCTGGCCCCATCTCTCTCTCAATATTTAGACAAGGGACCCTTTGCCTCTTCCCTTCCCTTCACAGGTAAACCCTCCCAATCCCAGAGAGCATCAATCAACACAGACTGCTACATTTTACTTTATTTTGCACATAATGAAGATAACTGACTAGGCAGCTCCAGAACTGTTAGTATTCATTAATTAAGAAGTAAATGAGATGAGAAGACAAACTTTTAATTTCCTCCCAAACATACTGGAAGTATCACAGAAACTTGTAACAACACATGCAATACAGGCTGGTTTCAACATACAGAGAGCCCAAGCAAGAAGGGTGAGTCCTGAAGATCCACGTGCGTCACAGGAGGAACAGTGCTCCAGGAGGCTGGAATCTACCCAGTCACTCACCCCGCTCCCACACAGAACTACCCTGTGAAGTTCTCTGCCCTTTGTCAGATTCAAATCCAAGAAGCTCTTTCATCCCACATTCCAGGCTCATCACTACCCCCCATTCCAAGGTGGTTAATCCACACACAGAAATCCAGGCAGAACCAAATATATTTGCACAGCTGTGTTTCATGTGGCATTTCCACAAGCCAGGCTCCAGCTCAAATTCTGTACAGGAAGTTCCCATTGCTGTCAAAGAACTCTCGCCCCCTCTGCACGACTTTGTTGCTAAAGTTCTGGTCACCTGGCTCCCCTGCCTTCAACTCTGCCAGCTTCTTGTCACTTGGCAATCCATCACTGTCAGTTTCTCTGGTGCCTCCACAGTCACTGGTGGAGAACTTCTGCAGCTCTCTCGGATGACCTAGGGCTGCAGCAACAGGAACAAAGCCCTTCTCCTCCAGGCCCTGGATTCCTTTATTCCTTTCCTTCTGTCTCCTTGGTGTATTTGTTCTGTGAGTGTTCAATTCTGTCACTTTCAAAGCTGTGCTGTGACCATGGCCTTTGGATGAGGCTTCATCCCCTGGCATCAGCAAAGAGCCTGATACAGAATGGCTTGCAGAAAGCGGTGCTGAGGTATCCCCAGAGCCTGGGAGCTGCTGGAGTGAGCGGGCAAGCCCAGTTTTCTTAAGGACTTTTTGATCCTGCTTCAGTTTCTGCTCCAATGTGGGCACAAACTTGCTTTTTAAAACCCTTCGGATCACATCAGTGCTGACATCAAAGCCTTCAGCCAATCTGGGAACTGACCAGGACTCTGCAAATTCCCTATGTAAATACCTATGAAAAAAAGAAGCAGGTTTTCAATCTGTGAAGAAGTCTCCTATCAGAACAGTTAACTGATAATACTAGTGATAAATACATGAAAAGAAGAGGGCTTGGAAAAACTGCAAATGCAGTGTTTATCTTGTGCCACTAAATGGCTGCGGTCCATTCCTGTGTGCTAACAGCAACACCCAACTACTCTTAGTCATTTCATTTCATATCAACTGAATTCCTCTCTCACTGCACGGCAGGGCCCAGTTAGATCCTGGGGATGCATGATGACTGTCTTTCCCTTCAAAGAACATACAGTCTGGTGGTGGAGACAGATACAGTAACATACAAAAACACTACGAGAAATATCCCAGCAGAGGATGCTGTGAGAGCACCGGGGAGGGAGAGGCAGGGACAGGCTATCACCACATTTGCGGGGTGGCCCAGGAATGGCTTCAGGAAGTCCACGCTAGAGCTGGTCTGAAAAGATGAGAAGTTGTCATAAGCTGGCAGAGGGGAGGAGAAGAAGAAAAGGTCAAAGGTACTGATGGGAGAGTGAGCAGCAGGTGGAACACGAAGAAGCACATCACCTTTGCTGGGAACAGCTCAGTCTGTGTGACGGGGCGGCAGGAGCAGGGTCATGTCATGCTCAGGGATTCCGGAGCCCATCCCAACGCAACAGTGAACCAAGGACAGCGTTTAAGGAGCAGAATGCCATGAGCAAATTTTCATTTTGAAGCCCAATCCAGTGGTAGTGAAAGAGGGCAGTCAATTATATTCCCTGAACTATAACCTGCTTAATGAATAATAACCTGTAACCTGCCTTCACTGACCAAGCTTGCTTTAATTGTTCATGCAAACTGCATACCCTCCAAGCTTCACATAGCCTAGACAATGTATCACAAGACTCCTTTAACTGCCCCCTATAGATAACACCTCTGACCATGGGTCACTCTGGTAACAGTTGCTTAACTTGTTGTTCAGGAACATGGGGCTAGTTTTGCCCAGTTCAAACTAGTTGAGACCACTGACCATTCAGCTGGGCCTGTACAAGTGTCCAATGGGTGACCTTTCAATGTCAAGGGCCAAAAACTCCATCCTCAGATCATGCTAATGCTGCCCACCATTTTCTGAACATGCATCCCATGAAGAACCAGGTAACTCAGATACCCCTGTGCAGAGCACCAATTACTTCACCTTTCTCTAACATTTAATCACCTTTCCCGAAGCCTGAGACCACCCTGCTTCTTTACCCCATAAATAACCTAAGACACTTTCTTCAAGGAGGCAGATTTGAGACTTGTTCTCCCATCTCCTTGCTTGGCTGCCTATGAATAAACCCTTTCTCTGCTGCAAACCTCAGGGTCTCAGCAATGGCTTGCTGTGCATCAGGCAAATGAACCTGGTTCAGTAACAGTAGTTTCTCAGTGCAAGACTAGAGATGGAAAGATCAGGCAAGAGGCTGTCACAGTAATCCAGGCAGTCTGAACCGAGACAGTGGCAATGAGAGCAGAGGAGGAAAGAGACTTGAGGAATGTTTTAGGAAGGCTAAGTGGTTACACTTGGTAAGGAACTAAATACTGGGTGAAGAAATAGGCTGAGATTCAGCATCTTTTTTTTTTTTTTAGTTAATTAATTAATTAATTTATTTTTGGCTGTGCTGGGTCTTTGTTGCTGCACAGACTTTCTTTAGTTGCGGCGAGCAAGGCCACTCCTTATTGCAGTGTGCGGGCCTCTCATTGTGGTGGCCCCTCTTGTTGCAGAGCACAGGCTCCAGGAACGTGGGCTTCAGTAGTTGTGGCATACGGGCTCAGTAGTTGTGGCTCACAGGCTCTAGAGCGCAGGTTCGGTATTTGTGGCACACAGGCTTTGTTGGCTCTGCGGCATGTGGGATCCTCCCGGACCAGGGCTCAAACCTGCGTCCCCTGCATTAGCAGGTGGACTCCCAACCACTGCGCCACCAGGGAAGTCCCAAGATTCAGTATCTTTAGAGTGGGTGATTGGTGGGACCATTCGGGGTTATAGCAAAAATAGGAGCAGAATGAAATTGTCAGGGAATAATGATGAATTCTATTTTGTACATGTTGAGTTTAAGGAACATGTGTGACAGCCAAACAGCGATATCTAGTGCACAGCTGACTATATAGGGTTCAGAAGAAAAACATGGACTGGACATGATAGATCTGGAAGTCATAAGCCAATAGCAGGAGTGGTTGAAGCCATGCAAGTGGCTGGCATTAGGCAGGGAAATATGCAGAGTGAGATAAATGACCAAGGACACAACTCTAAAAACTACAATAATTAAGATGCAGGAGGTAGACGGGGAGCCCACGGAGGAAACAGAAACCAGTCCTAGAAATAGAAGTGAGTGGTAGCCTGGGTCAAGGGAGAATTTCAAGAATGCAGACAAGGTCAAATGCTGCAGAAATGTTAGTCACACTAAAGCCTTGAGTGTCAGTTATGCCTAACACCGAGGAAGTCACTGGTAGATTTGTGGATAATAGTTTCATTGTTGTGATGAAACAAACAAAAATGAGGGTAGGGAGCCAGGGAGTCAGCAGGGAACTAAAGGAGGAGGGAGTGTAGTATATAGCCTTGACAGTTGGGTTTCCTTTTCTTTGTAACCCAAGTGACTGACTTAAGCTTTGCTTGCCAAGGTATGCACTTCAAAGATGGCTATCTCCAATAAACACACTGCCAGCCACACAACTAGATAAAAAGCCAGGCTTCCCCCCACCCCTCCATTGAGGCGCATTTGTTTTAGAGATTATGGTTGGCTTCAATAACTAACCACTTGGGCCACTTGCTTTTTTTCTTCTTGCGCTTTAAATTCCTGTTAAGGAACTTCCCTGGTGGTCCAGTGGCTAAGACTCCATGCTCCCAATGCAGGGGACCTGGGTTTGATCCCTGGTCAGGAACTAGATCCCACATGCTGCAACTAAGAGTTTGCATGCGGCAACTAAAGATCCCGTGTGCCACAACTTAAAAAAAAAAGACCCCGCATGCTGCAACTAAAGATCCCGCATGCCGCAACAAAGACCTGGCACAGCCAAAATAAATAAATAATTTAAGATAAAATTAAAAAAAAATTTTTAAATTCCTGTTAAATTCACCAATAAAGAGTGAGCCCTCAAAACCCTAGGCCCCCACCCTCAACCCCAATAAAAGAAGAACCCCAGGCCCTTGCACCTCTCTCTACCCATGACCTTGCTGTGTGGCCTCAGGTGTGCCATATAATTTCCAGGTCCTGTAAATAATAACCCTCCGCCCCACCCCTCATCC